ACACCTTGCTTCTCACACAAGCTCAATGACAGACTGACTGGCTTTAGGGGGATTTCAGTCAGGCTCCTCATGAACAGTGAAATACCAATGCGTGACTGTTTTCTTGCAAAACCTACTCTGTGCAGCATGCAGTTGTATAAGTGGCAAAATGTGCAACAGTGTGCAGAAAATGGGGTTGGTGCGGTTGAACTAAAGCACCTCCAAGATGTTTTAGTGCAAAAGTGCACTGCCGCTATTTTCTCCACACTGATGCGCAGCACCGAATGCTTTTCAAAGCACCCAGCACTGTGACATGTACATGTGTAAAAATGCCCTTAATTGTGGAAATAAAATCTACACAAAATTATTTAAAGGAGGTATCCACAGAAAGAGGGAGATTCATGAATATGAGAAAACAGCTTCCACAAGGGGGCAAGGAGAATTAATATATTTAAGTAAAAACTGGAAAACTGTATGGTTGTATGGGATTTAATTCAGTCTGTATTTTGAGAACAGCCAACTATGTTTTGTTGAAGCTGTTTTTTTCAAATTAACAGCAATCAAGAAATTAAACTGCGATTTAAAAAAAATAATCACACCTGGAAGTATATGATTTATATTGAATTCTATTGATACAAAATTGACAAACGAAGCCCTACACAATGGGTCTAACAGAAATAATGCTCTCAATAGTGAGGATTTTATTTAAATCGATTAACTGACCACCAAAAAAATCCTTGCTCTGTTTTTATCACAGTTCTAATAGAGCCAGACTTAAAAAGATTAAGAGTAAAATGTTTTATTATTCCAAGAGAGAGAACTTTTTTTTACCATGAAACAGATAATCACATGAGTTTTAGCCAAAAGAATTACCATTTCTCTTCAACTATTAGAAAATAATATTGTTTATGTATCCAGGCTGCAATCTACAAAAGGATAAGCTAGATACCTCCTCCCCGCATCCAGTTGGTTTTAGGAGTTTATATGTTAGACACTTGGTAATAACTGCAGCAGCCAATTGTTCTCTTAATGGGATAGAAATTAACATGCTCTGCCTCTTTAAAGCAGTGTTGCCAGGTGTACAATAAATTCAATCCTTGTATGATGTACAATCAGTAACAGTAAAAGTGCTCAAAATGTACAATAATTTTTGAGGCAGCTACATGATGCAATATATGCAAAACCCAAGCCATTCTCAAGGAGTTTTAACTGATTTTTGGGCTTGCTGTCACTGCTTTCTTATGACTGCTTGCCTAAAATAAAGAAATACTATAACTGATAACTCAGTTCTCCTCACTATCTGGCAAGTTATAGTGAGCAATGTAAAGTAAACACAAAGGTTTATTTGCATAGCTGTTTGTATATTTTTCAGTGTATGATAGCTTTTCAGCAAATACAATAATTTTGAGCTTAATAATTTAACATTTAAGATCTGGCTACACTGCTTCAAAATAAGGAATAGGATAGGCAGCTGGGGGCCTCACTTCCTACCAATGATTGCCCTATTCCTGTATCCATGGACTTTGTATCATTTGTGGCTTTTTTTCTTCTCCACATGTTCACATATTCTCTCCTCCATGTTTCCCTGGTTTTGCTATGTGTTTGCACATGAATAGTTACAGCACAAAAACTTTTAGGATAGGATTTCTCAAAAGCTTTCAACGTTGGCATAACTCTGCTCTCACTAAAGTTAGCCGATCATTAATTAATGAATTAGGCCAGCACTGATCTTCTGAATATCATATTGATTTCAGTGAGAGTCAGACATCTGAATATCTTTCAGAATATGGGCCCAAACTTTAGGACCAGGAATAGGTGGATCATGAAATAAAAAATTTCTATTAACTCAGTAACTGTTCTACATTGCCTTTTCTTTTTTTCTTAAAGGAAAGAATATTTTAGTAATAATTTATTAGTTCTGGTAAAAAATGTCTTGTAAGTAAAAATGTTGTAGTCTTAGTTACTGCAATTAATAAGATTGCATTTAAATGCAATCTAAGTAACTTCATTGTCATAAAAATATATTAGGCATATTCAGAGACACGTAAAATCAGGTTATTGACAGCTACCATGCAGGAAAGCTTTATGCACAGAGTCTACAATTAGAGTTAATGATGTGCAAAAATCACCTCTTGATCCCTATACTGTAACCTCTTTGCCCAAAACAGTACTAGCTCTACCTCCACTTTATCCATCTGTTGCCCGAGTTCAGCTATTGCGTCATGGAGTGACTATAGCACAATGGAAGAAGGTGATAACAGCAAATATTAGGAAAAGATTACAATCACGTAAAGAGATGATGAGACAAGGCAAAGAACCAAAGGAATAATTGATTTTGTTACTGGTTTTGGAAAACTTTCATTTAAGAGACCAAGTGATGCTTAGAGGCAGACACACGGAATTCAGAGCTAACAATACCATTTCTTGTGAACATTTGGATTAAATCTTACTTCAGCAGCATTTGCTGTTGATGCTTACATTTTAACCCATCGCTTAAACTGCTCAGTGAGAGTGTGATGCTGTAAGGATCAGAGCTTATCATATGGTGTTATGCTTTTTCATTAGGTAATCGATTTCACATTTTACCATCACTTCATTGAATAAAAAAAGGTTTCAATGTCTGGGAGTCCAAAATAACAGCTAGTTATAATTTGGCTAAGCCTCTACAGCACTAAAGCTATCTTGAAGAATTCCATCTATGTTTGCCACCTGGCAAATCTTATTTCTACAACAGTGGTGCGTCTGATGCTTGTCTGAGCTGGTAAGTTGTTGTTAAGGCAGTAATGATCATTTAGATAGCTGGGATCAGACTGGAGGGGATAAGGTAATGGAACTTGATGCAAGCTCTGTTCACAGCTCACAGCTCCAGATATGTTTATATTAGAATAATGGAGCTACACTTCACAACACCAACCACTGCAAGGGTCATAAAAAGCCTTTAGAATCAGCCCAACATTTAAGTGAGACTTACTTCCTGGAATGACATCATTGTTACCCTTTCTTCTCGCAGATTAATTCACATTTGGAATCCTTCTTTGCAATCTTAAGGAGCAGAAACTCAAGTTTCTTTTTATAAAAAAGCAGAGCCTAACATTCTCTTCTTTACCTTATGCAATTACCAGAGAGTTGTTACCACCTGTGTATGTTGGCACCATCTGATCACAGGCGTTATTATGCAACAGACCAGTGATCTAGAGAAAGCAGAGCCAAGGAATGCAATTCTCCCTGATCCTGCTCTTTAAAAGAGCAAAGAACTCTCAGCAAGATGCTATACATGATGCATCTGTCTCTCACTGAATCGGACCAACCAGCTTTTCAGCTTGAGAACCATGTGCTTAGAACCTGACTTCAGAAGTTCTCTTTCGAAAATTGAGAGTTTCCCCAACCAAAAGGAACTTTTTTCCCTTAAAAAGAAAACATATGAACATTAAAGATTAACTCCTCCCGCTCCCTGTAAAAAAAAAAAAAAAAAGCCCTGCTTCTTGTTTCAGGAAACATGAAGCCACATGCAGGCTCAAAGGATGTATTCAACTGGTTTACTCACCTCTGTCTCTCTGAATCTAACTTCATAGTCTGATCTGTCCTTCTCTACAGAGGTTAGCTTTAGCTTCAAATTGGAAATTTCTGCCATAAGATCCAGTTTCTGTGTTTCAAGGGATGTTCTGCTCAAGAGCTCCTGATTCAGAATTAAGAGGAACAGAATAATTAATCTTTTTGTTTTTAAATTACATGTTAGCAGAATACAAAGGTAGATCCCAGAAACAGAAAGAGGTCTTTTAGATAATAAGTCAAGAAAATCCTTTACCCAGGATACTCACCCCAACCAACTCAATAATCTTTAATCCAGCCAGCCTCTCACACCTCAGACAGAAGTCTCTACCTGTAATACTGGGTCATCTAAGGATGACCAGGAAGGCCCAATTCTACCCCTCAGGAAAAGCTGTGAACAATGGACATCCATAGTTCCCAACAAACTCTTTTAGTTTAGTCTTGCAAACTCTGCCAGTCAGCAGCAACTGAAGGAGATGATCTTGGAACAACTTATGGCAAGTAGAACCATGGGTGACTCTCTTCAAATCAACCTGGATGTGTCCAAAATTATGGCTTGCTCTTGCTGTCTCGCTGCCAAGCCAGGAATACCCCATCCAAAAGGCCTAATCCCATAATAGAGAGCAGCAAAGCATGCCATTTATGATAAATAGGTGCCCCAAAAGAGCTATCTAAGGTTTCAATTCAACTTCCATGGAAGTTAGTAAGTAACTCCAAGTAAGAGTTTTACTAAATTCTGTTCTGCAGAATAGGACTGATATAACTAAGAATTAGAGAATTTTTAACAAATAAAGTGGGAAGGTAAACAAAGGAACTATCACTGCTGTGACAAGCGGAAGATTTCAAGATCTTGTACTAAATTATACCAGTCTAACTAAAGCAGACTAAACTATACAATTTAGTACCACAACACATCTAATAAGTAGAAAGAAATGCAATTGCTCTTGCTTCCTCACAATACCTGTTGTAGCATCTCTTCTGTGGCATTCAGCTTCTCCCTGTGTTCTTCTAGACAGAACTCCAAATCTCGAATCTTTTCTCCCTGAGCCTCCACTTGGTCCGTAAGCACGCTTACCTGTACAGCAGTGACATATGGACATACATAACTACTGCAAACTTACATCACGCCTATGGCCCTGAAGGCTCCACAGTTCAATTACAGCAAGAGCAGTCCACAGCATGGGAAGTTTCAGAGACGCAGACAATTTCTACATTTGCACACTGTAATTTCAGAACAATATTTGGTAGGCAGGTTCCCCTGGCCCAAAGCTTGTAATTTAGCTAGGACTGAACTCCTACTCTGAAATAGTAATTTCAATAGCAGTGGGATCTTAGATGTGCACAGTGACTAAGTTCTCGCTTTATAATCTTGTCTGGAAAGCTGCATGTCTTAATACCAGAACTTTGAGAATCAGGTACTCCCATTGCATCAGTATCAAATAAGGCTTAGTTATGAGCCAACAATGCCCTTGTTGCAAAGAAGGTTAATGGCATACTGGGCTGCATTAGCAGGAGTGCTGTCAGTACATCAAGAAAAGTGGTTAAAGCCCTCTATTCAGCACAGGAGAGGCCACATCTGGAGTACTATGGCCAATTTTGGGCTCCCCACTACAGAAAGGACTTAGACAAAAAGGAGAGAGTCCAGCAGAGGACAAAAAATGGCTAGGGGGTTCAGGCACAGGACTTCCAAGGAGAGGCTGAGGGAACTGGGCTTATTTAGTCTGGAAAAGAGAAGACTGAGGGGGGGGGATTTAATAGCAGCCTTGAACTACCTAAAGTGGGGTTACAAAGAAGACAGAGTTAGACTGTTTGCAGTGGTGCCAGATGACACAACAAGGAGCAATGGTCTCAAGTTGCAGCAAGGGAAGTTTAGGTTGGATATTAGGAAAACCTCTCTCACTAGAAGAGTAGTAAAGCACTGGAACAGGTTACTCAGAGAAGTTGTGGAATCTTCATCCTTGGAGGTTTTTAAAACCTAGCTAGACAAAGCCTTGGTTGGGATGATATACCTGGGAACAGGGGGCAGTCTTGCTCAAGCAGGGGGTTGAACTAGATGACCTCCTGAGGTCTCTTCCAACTCTGATATTCTATGCTTGTAAACTAAATAAATAATAGAAAGTTCATAATTATGCCTCATGCATCACACCATAAGCAAGGTCGATATGGGTTGTGTACACACGTTCAAATAATCTGGGGCAATTCTCCCGGGTTTGTTTTCCTAGTAAAAATATTACCTGTAGATGTCTGAACAGACATTTGAAGGTTAAGCCCCTGAGGAGCAAAGCTAACAACTGATGTGGCACAGCCAGGGACCCACACACATCTCTGAGTGCTCTGCTATCTCCCTCAGTCTGTCTAAAGACAGAAATGTACAGAGAAGCCCTAATTAGCTGGTCCAGATGGCTCAGGATCAACCGGTGTCTACCTACAGCACAATGTGGAGTTCAGCCCAAATGACACACTGTGTCCCATGGCAGAGGAGCCAGGAGCAAAGCACTCTGGGATGCTGCATGACTGTGTTGTAGCTTCTCTCAGACATCTGCTTTCACAGGAGAAACTCTCCTGGGAGCCATTTAACTCTGATTGTTCCTGGGTTATTTTTCTTCCAGAGTGGTTTTTGTCCTGGAAGAAAAGTCACAAACATCTTCTGTATACTTGTGGTTTCTCCTAGGAGAGCAGCTACTCTCCCAGGAGAAACTGAATGTCTATATATGACCATGATGTCCACTCTGAAGAGCTGACAATTTTCTGATGGATGTAACATACGAGAATAATAGAAACAAAAAGGTGAGGTTAAGGAATGGAGGACCATTAATCATCACGAAGATTATGTGGAATAAATCACTGGTACTCCATGAGCCAGACTGCTCCCAATCCTTGAGCTAGCATTACAGTATAGATAAACAAATAGGGCCCGCTTGTGTAATGTTTTAGTAGTTAATAAAGAAGAGGTTCTTAAGGAATATGAAAGAAACTTAGTGCCCTCATGGATAAGGTCAGGTAACAATTAAATAGCGGCTTGCCTACACATGGAGTGGACACTCTTAATCTTACTGAAATTTAAATTCACACTCTATATTAACCTAGTTCAACTTTCAGATATAAACAAGGTCTACGACGACAAGCCAAGATGGTATGACTCCAAGCAAATAATCAATTCTTTAATCACTTAAAGCAACCAACCTGCAAACAAGAGAATGCTTACTTGCAAAACAAGAGATTCCTTATCATTTTCCAACCGTGCTAGCCTTTCTTGATATACATCACCATTACCAGGTATATGTCCGTTAGTCTGAAAAAAAAAAACAAAACAAAAAAATCAAGTTTATCATCTATTGTAGTTAGCATTGTTTGCTGACAATTTTAAAAAGCTGTGCCCTAGGATCTCTAGCTGAATACAATATTACTAGTCACCACAAGAAAGACAGCTAAAATATAACAGTTATGGGCTAGATGCTAAACTCCGTAAACTGAGGTAAAGTGAAGTCAGAGGAACTAGGCTGACTTACATCCGGGAAGGGATTAAAAGAAATGAAGGATGAAATTGGTCTTCTGTAACTGAATTCCTCAAATTTGTTTACTGCTCAGAAGGCATTTTTAAGCCTGCATGCTTCATGGGTAGGGATCTACCTAAATTGCACTGAAAGCACACTGTGCAGTGGCCCCTTTAACCTTGTTTTTTTTTTGTTTGTTTTTTTGCTGTGCACGCCCACCTGCCATTGATTGATGGAGGGGCCTCAGCCTTTCTTCTGACTGGCCAGGAGACAAAAACTGTGGTTTTAAATATTCCACTGTTTTTGCCTCCTGCCTAATCAGCAAGCGGCAGGGTCAACAGGACCCCTCCACCAAATCAGCAGCAGGAGGCAAAAATAGTGGCATATTTAAAACAAGATTAAAGGAGCTGCTGGGCAGTGCACTTCTGGCACAATTTAGAGAGAACCCTACTCACAGTACCATGCTAAGGCATACCTACAAAGAGAAGAATACCTCAACAAAACAAAAAACCTCACCCTATGGGGAAAAAGGTTTTAGATAAATTATTTGGGTTTTTTGTGCAGTCTCTCCATCTCTGAACAATGTATTGTACGGTAAAACAAACAAAAAAAAAATCAAATAAAATATACCCCTACTTGTCAGATGAATTCTACTATGCCTTATCAAACCTATGCAATCTAAACATGCCCCTTTAAGCTGCTTTTGTCTGGCTATAAACAGACATCGTCCTTAAAGCAGGATCACTTGTGCCAGGATGATCAACTTAACTGGGCAACACAGACATCTCCCATTGTCCCACAGGGTTGGGCCCCTGCCGCTTCTGGGGCTTCGGAGGGCCAATTCTGCAGGATGACCAAAAATGAGGAAACTGACTTGGGGTGCAGCTCTGCAAATGAGGGAATCCATAATCTTGGAAACATGGAGGTCAACTACAGAGAGTTATCAATGGTTCTGTTTGCCACCAATTGTTCCAAGACCACCTCCCTCAGTTGCTGCTGAATGGCAGAGTTTGCAAGGTTAAACTAAAAGTTTATGGTGGGAATTATGAATGTCCTCAGGGTTCCCTCATTTGCAGAGGCACACCCCACAAGTTGGGGCATGGCAGCATAATGCATCTGCCTGGGGAATCCCCTCCCAGAGGGGAAACCAGGGCAGGCAATCCCAGGGCTACAGGGGCCCAGTCATAATACCCCTGCAGGAAAATTCATGGACCACACAGGGTTAGGCCCTCAAAAGCATGGGAGCACCTGGCAGGTAGACTAGAGAGTGTGGGTAGTTCAGGGGTGCTTGAACTCTCCCCGCCATAAAGCAAACAGATGTCTACTGTCAAAAAACAGCACAAATGTTAGCTACCTATTGGTGTGGTCACAATTTGGGGCATTTGTGGCATGACAAGGTACACAGATGTCTGTTGCTTGCCCTTTGTAGCACAGTAAAAATGTTATGATGGCAAAAAGGTGACATCTGCTTCTGGCCTCTCAGACCAAGGGGGAAAAAAAAAAGATTAAATGCGTCGTCATGATCCATGGTTCCTGAAACTGCAAACACAGCAGGAAAATGAGCTATATGACAGACCAATCTATTGTAATGATTGCGAAAGAAAAACAAACTATCCAAAACGGAGTGCAACATTTGGCTTTGGTCATCCCCAAAGTAATCCCAAAGTACTTTATGAAGCAAACATTCTTCCCATCATCACATAAAGCATTTGGAAAATTTAAAGAACCTGATCCAAAATTGAGTGCAGTCAACAGAAAACCAGTTCTTGTGTTGATTCTTAGTATTTAAGGGAACAGGTTCATAGGACTAGTAATAGGGGTGTGTGAAATGGGCCATATTCGATTCGGGTCCAGATTTGGCTCGATTCAGAGGACAGTATTTTGATTAGTTGATTTGGATCACTGTCCTGATTAGATTCAGCCAGATCTGAACATGAAGATTTGATTCTGATTCCCAGAATCAGCAATTCAGCCACAGACATAACTTTACATGTTTTTTGTACATATCTTGAGGTAGCAGGCACAGCTCGTAAACGCCAAGATGGCGGGGTGGATGGAGCATCCCACAGGAGCGTAGGGGGCCCCCCGCATGCTCGGTGGCAGACCCGAAAGTGGACCAGAAATACTTCTGGTCCGCTGGTCTGCCGCCAAGCACACAGGGGAGCCCCTCCCCTGCATCCCCCTGGCTCAGTGATCAGCTGCAGGGGGACCCCAGGTGCCCTCCCAGACCCAGGAGGCACCAGTCGCCAAGCCAGGGGTCTCCTACACACTCCATGACAGACCTGGAATTGGACCGGAAGTGCTTCTGGTCCACTTCTGGGTCTGCCACTGAACATGCTGGGGACTCCCCCACGCTCCCATGGGACTTGCCATCCGCCCCACCATCTCAGTGTTCATGAGACGCCTGGTACCTTGAGGTACGTAGAAAAACTTATTAAGCTGTGTCTATGTCCAGATCATCGAATCTCTCTGAAACAAATGGAGGCTTCCAATTCGATCCGGAGAGATTAATGGGTCTCCCGATTCAATTCGGATTCCGAGATTCAGCCACCAAATCTCTGCTGAATTGAATCAGAGACTGAAGCTTCACACAGCCCTAACTGTTAGCAGGATACGTATAACCTGGAGCCCTGTTTTGAGAATCTTGCATACCACAGTAAATCACGAAGACATGCAATGCAAACCACTTCATCTAAAACAGGAAGAGATAGTTAGCTGTGTTAGTCTGAAGTCAGACAGAAGGCAGGTCAGGGGCACCTTAGAAGCTAACTGGTTTAGAAAGGCATAAGCTTTCATAGGGGACAACCTACCTCATAGCTGTTTCATAGCATCTGACAAAGTAGAATGTCTCCTACAAAAAGTTTATGCCTCTCTGAATCAGTTAGTGTCTATAATGCCTTTTGTCTAAAATAGAAGGCAACCTGAAGCAGTCTCACAGACATGTTAACTGAAAAGTAAAGAAAAAGAAAAAGTCATGCCCTAGAAAAATCAAGCTAAATACTACCAGATTTGCTAGAGTAGTGTAGTGGCAGCAGTCTACCCCTTCTTGCCATACGGGATGCCAGATTACCATAGCAGCATCTATCACATTCTCAAGGCGGCAAGAATCCTTGCCAGTCTAACCCTGACATCAGTAATTAGGGCCAGAAAACCATGCTCCATAGCATGAACGTGTGCCCCCAGCGGCTGGGGGGGACACGGCGGTGGCAGGAGCTCAGTAGCGGTAAGCGGGAGCTCCTGCAGATGCTGCTGGCACCAGTCGGTGGCAGGAGGAAGGGAGGTAGTGAGCACCAACCAAGGGTTGGTGACCACCCACAGACACCGCCAGCAGTGTCAGCGGTGGCCAGCAGCAATCACGGACCACCCGCAGATGCTGCCGGCAGTGTCAGCATGTGCACCCCCAACATGTTACCCCTGCTCCATAGTACATTACAGCAGTGTATCATGATGCCCTGTGCCCAAAGAATTCAGGAATAACCTGCCAATATCAATTCTCCCACTGACTGGGCTGGGTTCCAAGGTTTAGCTTTAGTCTGTGCGCTAGTATCGCCTGGAAATGAGCTGAAGACGATCAGGATTTTAAGCACAGAGGTAGATATAAAAAAACTTGGCAAAACAAGTATTAAGGGTTGCCAAAGTAAATTCTAGTTAACTGCTAAATTGAAGGATTTCCTTTCAAGTCACGGGTGTCAAACTCATCTAGTCCCAGCATACTTTGGTTGGAGTAGCAGCTGTGCTACATGCTCTGGCCCCCCTGTACCACATGCAGTGCCTATTCCAGCCACTCTGGGATCTGTGCCGCACTTAGCGCAGGTCCCAGACCAGCTGGATCAGGTATGCTGAGGGAGGAAGAGGGAAAGGGGTCTGTGGGCCTGATCCAGCCCATGAGCTAGCCCCACACCACAGGAGCACACCATGCCCCACAAAGGTCTGATCCAACCAAGAGAAAGCACCATGCACTAAGTGATGGGGTTCTACAGGTAGATCTGGTCCACAGGCTGTATGTTTGACACCTTGTTTTAAATTACAACATTTTCTTTATTGTACAGATAATACAAAGAGTAGATTTGCATACTCTGACTTTAAAGAATAACAATAATGGTCCCTAAAACTTCTCTCAGTTTAGTTTGCTCTAATCCGTTTATTTCCATTTGAAGTTCTAGCTGCCTCTGGTAATAACATGGAGCCCATTACTACAATAACTGAATACCACACAATCTTTAATGCACATGTTTTAACACTACCCCTATTGCAAAATGTTATGCATCTCCCTCCACACATGGGCAGCCAAGGCAGAGTGAAGCTCCATGACCCACCTGGGGTCACTTACAAAGTTCTGGCCAAAGCAGGGACTTGAGTCCAGGCCTCCTAACTCCTGCGTTAGTGCTCTAATCACTGAGGATTTCTTCCCTTCCTTGATGCAAAACACAGGCGCCCATAGAAACCCATTTTTCCTTACTGTGATTATTTACTCTAATGCAACAGAGTTTTTCATATGTGGTGACAATTAATGAGGTGTTATCACATTGTGTCTGTCACATCTTGCTAAGACACTTTCACTGCCAGGCTCTGTATGCACTGCTGTATTTCTCAATAAACAGTAAGATTTTAGTTAATATGAGAGAGAGAGAGAGAGACAAAATAATTCAGACCACATTTACACTTGGAAAAAACAGTTACCAGAAACAAGAACGTTTTTAAAAAGACAGAAAATGGATGAGAACTGCATTAAATGCAGTAGAAAAGTTTTAATTCTCCTCTTCCAAGCAATATTTTTTTCTATTGGTTGTGACTTGAA